AGGAGGAGGAGGAGGGAGCAGGAGGAGGAGGAGGAGGAGGGAGCAGGAGGAGGAGGAGGGAGGAGGAGAGAGGAGGAGGAATGAGGAAGGAGGAAGGAGGAGGAGGAGGAGGAGGAGGAGGGGGGGGGAGGGGGAGGGGGAGGAGGAGGGGGGGAGGAGGAGAGGAGGGAGAGGAGGAGGAGGAGGAGGAGGAGGAGGAGGGGAGGGTTGCGCGACGCGCTAACCACGTCTCCGTCCCCGAGCATCAGCGTCCCGAGCCGTTCCACCGTGCTCGCGGCGCGGAGCGCATAGCGCCGAGCTGTGCGCTCGCAGGGCAGCGTGTCGCCGGGGCCGCCACGGCGACACGCTGAGCTTACGTCGGGCAGGGCCCTCTACAGGGGGGATCTCCAAAAATAGTCCTAAGTCGGGCCTGTCCCCCTACAGGGGGATTTTCGACGAAAAAATAAAAACATAAAAATAATCCAAACATAGTCCAGAAATAGTCTGGGGACTATTTTTTTTATTTTGGGGTATTTTTGAATATATGGTATTTTTCGTCGAGAACCCCCTGTACGGGGACACGCCCGACTTACAAATAGTCTAAACATAATATGGGGACGGATTTGATTTGTTTTGGTGGTTGTTTTGAGCATGTCTTGGCACTTGTTCGTTTCTCAGTCAAAATCCGCCTGCAGGAGGACATGCCCAGCCTGACGCTAAGCACAAGTTCCAGACCGTAGACCTCTGCTGAAATCCGACGTAGCGGAACAAGTGCAACACGTGAGAAATCACGGCATGCGCTACGTTGCGAGCCGGATCGATCGGTGAGTGTCCCAGGGCCCGGGAGCGGGCGAAGAGGTTTGCTGTGAAGAGTCTCCTGGCGAAGGGCCCAACCATAGGCAGTTGTGCTGTGAGTAGCCCCGCTGTGGGTATCGCCTTCGGCGGATTCCTTGCTGGGGCCACGACGCTGGTAAAGGGTGTGCCGGAATGGGGCGGGGACGCATGCGGGCGCAGCCATTGAGGCCTGTGGTGGCGCTCCACATGGGGCCACGAAGCGTGCGAGGGGTGTGCCGAAATGGAACGGGGCAGTCATGCGAACTCCGCCACTGGGGCCTTCGGTGGAGCTCCATATGGGGCCACGAAGCGCTGCACTGAGGGGGGAAGACGCATGCGAACACCGCCAGTGGGGCCTTCGGTGGAGCTTCATATGGGGTCACGAAGCGCTGGACCCGGTGGGGGGGCGCATCCGAACACCACCACCCGAGGCCTTCGGTGGAGCTCCATATGGGCCACGAAGCGCTGTACCCGGTGGGGGAGGCGCATGCGAACACCGCCACTGGGGCCTTCGGTGGAGCCCACTGATGGGGCCACGAAGCGCTGTACTGGGTGGGGGAGGCGCATGCGCACACGGCCACTGGGGCCTTCGATGGAGCCCACTTACAGGGCCACGAAGCGTTGTACTGGGTGTGCGTGACGCATGCCGGCGGTGCCACTGGGGCATTCGGTGGAGCAAACTTGTTCAGGCCGAAAAATCGGTCAAGAGGAAGTGGTCCAGACCTCTGGGGCTCCACGCGTTCAAAACAATGGAGCGCCAGATATGTGGGCCCTCTCCTCGGGCGGGAGAGTACAACGCTGGCAGGCACCTGGGCGGAAGGCCGACGGAGGGCGGCGGAAGCCAGTGTGGGCCTCAACAGGGCGGAGGATGGGGCCGCATCGCGGCCTGGAGCCTGATCTGCTTGATCCCGACGTCGCAGGTGCATCGCCGATGCACCGGCGACGCGGTGCGATCCACCGACACCCATGCAGACATCCGACTCGGAAACATCGAGACGGAGATTTGGCATAGTTTTTGGCCCATCGTGGCCCTCACCTGGCCTCGGGATTGTCTTAAATCGACTCGGGATGAAAAACCGGTCCCAGGGAAGTGGTCAAGAGGTTGGGGGCTCGCGTCTTGAAAACATCGCCGGATCGCCGGATGTTTGGGCATCCATGTTGGCTTCCCATCTGGGAGGCATCCAGAAGAAGAAGAAGAAGAAGAAGAAGTGGGGGCGACAGCAACGTTTCGTCGTCGTGGGTGTGGTGGGGCGACGTCGATGAGATTGTCGTCGTCGTCGTCGTCGTCGTCGTCATCTTGGGAGGCGGTGGCCTTTCAGGATCGACTGCGCATAGGAGTGACTTTTCGCTGGAGTGACCTTTGGTGCGGGCCCAGTAGGGTCCGCCGATAGCTGCATGCGATGCGGTGGCAGCGGCTTGCGCGCCTGGGTTTGGCCCCCCTCCCCGCGCCCACCCCAAAACCATGCACGAGAGGTAACTTTTGCGTGTCCCCGTTGCAGTCTGACCGCGGTGCACGGTCGAGGTCGCTTCGGGGAGGGTACCCTCATGTTCTTCGTGTCTGTTGGGTGCTCTTGTACATCCTGGGGAGGGCAGACTTGGCCTGTGTGTGTTGGCCATCGGAGGGTCTCATGTTCTTGAAGGATATTATTTCTGCTTTAGGGCAAGCGCTGGTTTCGCCTGGGTGGTTTCGCCCAGCTGGTTTTGCCTGGCTGGCTTCGCCGCCGGACAAAACCAGCCGCTGTCGGCGAAACCAGCTGCCGTCGGCGAAATCAGCTGCCGTCGGCGAAACTGCCCAATCCGACCCGCCCGTTAGGGTCCGCCCGCCCGACCCGACCCGTCGGTTAGAGTTCGCGCTTGCTCGGTCGAACGTGCCCCACACTTTCATGCCCTGCCCGCCCGACCCGACCCGCCCGTTAGAATCCGCCCGCCCGACCCGACTCAACCCGCCCGCCACGGTCCGCCCGCCCGACCCGACCTGCTCGTGAGGGTTCGCGCCTGCTCGGTCGAGCGTGCCCAACACTTCAATGTCCCGCCCGACCGACCCGACCCGCCCGTTAGGGTCCGCCCGCCCGACCCGATCCAACCCGCCCGCAGGGTCCGCCCGCCCGACCCGACCCGCCTGTTAGGGTTCGCGCGTGCTCGGTCGAGCTTGCCCCACACTTTAATGTCACGCCCGCCGACCCGCCCCGCCCGTTAGGGTTCTGCCTGCCCGACCCGACCCGACCGTCCGCCCGCCCGACCCGGCCTGCCCGTTAGGGTTCGCGCCTGCTCGGTCGAGCGTGCCCTCAGTCGAATGTCCCTCCCGCCTGACCCGACCCGCCCGTTGAGGACCGCCCGCCCGACCCGACCCGACCCGACCCGCCCGTTAGGTTCCGCCCGCCCGACCTGAGCCGCCCGTTAGGGTTCGCGCCTGCTCGGTCGAGCGTGCACCACACTTTCATGCCCCGCCCGCCCGACCCGACCAGCCCGCTAGGATCCGCCCGCCCGACCCGACCTGCTCGTTAGGGTCCGACCGCCCGACCCGACCCCACCCGCCGGCTAGGAACCGCCCGCACGACCCGACCCGTCCGTTAGGTCCCGCCCGCCCGACCCGACCCGACCGGCCCGCCAGGGTCCGCCTGCCCGGCAAGACCCGCCCGTTACGGTTCGCGCCAGGTTCGCGCTTGCTCGGTCGAGCGTGCCCACATTTTAATGTCCCGCCCGCCCGACCCGACCCGCCAGTTTAGGTCCGCCCGCCCGACCCGACACGACCCGCCCGCTAGGGTCCGCCCGCCCGACCCAACACGCCCGCTTGGGTCCGCCTCTGTTCGGTCGAGCGTGCACCACATTCTCATGCCCCGCCCGCCCGACCCGACCGGCCCGTTAGGGTCCGCCCGCCCGACCCGACCCGACCTGCCCGCCAGGGTCCGCCCGCCCGACCCGACCCGCCCGTGACGGTTCGCGCCTGCTCGGTCGAGCGTGCCCCACATTTTCATGCCCCGCCCGCCCGACCCGCCCCGCCCGTTACGGTCCGCGCTCGACCCGACCCGATCCGCCTGCTAGGGTCCGCCCGCCCAACCCGACCCCCCGTTAGGGCCCGCCCGCCTTCCGACCCCACCCGCCCGCCAGGGTCCGCCCGCCCGCCCCGACCCGTCCGTTGGGGTTCGCGCCTGCTCGGTCGAGCCTGTCCACACTTTAATGACCCGCCCTCCCGCCCCGAACCGCACGTTAGGGTCCGCCCGCCCGACCCGACCCGACCCGCCCGCCAGGGTCCGCCCGCCCGACCCGACCCACCCGTTCCGGTTCGCGCCGGGTTCCCGCATGCTCGGTCGAGCGTGTCCACATTTTCATGCCCCGCCCGCCCGACCCGACCCGCCCAGTTAGGTCCGTTCGCCCGACCCGATTCGACCCGCCCGTTAGGGTTCGCGCGTGCTCGGTCGAGCTTGCCCCACACTTGAATGTCCCGCCCGCCTCAGAGGGGCCCAGCCCCTCTCAGGAGAGACGCCTGGATGGCGGGAGGGTGCTTGTGAGGAGCCGGCTGCCTTCTCGCATAAAGTCGGGCCTGCCCATCTACAGGAGGACTATTCCCGCTGTTATCTCATATCATCATGCATGGGGAGTGCAAGCCGTAACCCTAGTAACGCAGTGGATGTCTCTAGACATACGCGTGCTTTCTTTCCGTACATCTGCAAAACAGACCCTCTGCCCCTATTTCGAGGTATTTGGGGTTCGCGAGGGTCGACATTTCAGGGTCCGTTTAGTCGGGGCCTACATGTGAGCCCTTTTGCGCAAGTCTGCATGTTGAGGCCCTCCTCCCTACTCGCGTGTCTACATGAGAGGGGCTCGGCGTTTCGCTAAACTTCCTGGATGCCCAGAGGCTGAATTCTGGCGGCTGCCGTGGCTAGAATCGCGGCCCCTTCGAGACGCTTGGGGTCACGTCGCCCTGGGGTGTCGGCTTGGCTCCTCCGAGCCACTGTTGTTACCTCCTGCTCCTCGGTCAGGGGATCTACTACAGAATCGAGGTACCCCAAACTTCATGTGCTCGCCGAGTCTGCAATGTGCGCCGATCTGCAGGCATTCTGCGTTTTTGCTCCTCGTAGCTCCGACGATCGTTTGGGGGCAGGTCAATCACGCAGGGAGGAGGAGGAGGAGGAGGAGGAGGAGGAGGAGGAGGAGGAGGAGGAGGAGGAGGAGGAGGAGGAGGAGTCGATCTGTCTTGCTCTCCTGTTGCCGCCTCCTCCTGCTCCCAGGGCGTGGCCGCGGCGTCGGCCTCGAATATCTTCTCCGGGGACGTGCGGGGCGTGTGCCTCCCTCCCCGTCGGTTCCCCTGCGGATGAGTTTTCTTGCGACGGCCGCACGGTTGACGCGCACGCGCGCGCCAGGGCTGAGAAGCCGGCCCCGCCCTCCCCTCCCTCAAAGCACTCGGCATCGCTCGGTCGTGTGTCACTCGTCTTGGCGGAGACTAAAGCGACGCGAAGATCGGGACAAGATCGGATCGGGATAACTCGAAATCTCTGAGAATCGGCGGGTTTGGAGGATGTATTGGGCGCCGCGGCCGCTCCAGAGCGTTCCGGAACGCTCTGAGAGCGCTCCGGAACGCTCTGGAGCGATTTATCCCGATCCTAGCCCTGTTTTAAAGATCACCGAGGAGCATCCAAGATCATCGAGCCAACACTTGCCCTGCGACGTAGCCGACCCATCGGTACCAAGGGGTGAGATGAGTGGTGCCGACAAGAATGCGACAGCAACACTGCAAGAGACGGTGCATGGCGGATATCCATGCCGTGCGAAGTGTGCGTGGCCGATTCGCAGAACAGAGTTACAAAAGGCCAGGAGGCATTCTATTTGGAAGGAGAAGCAAAATACTTACATCGGGGTGGAAGAACAATCACCTCGGCAGAAGCAGCGAGATGATGGCGAGGTCTTGTTGGGATCTGCGTGAAACCCACTGTACTGCCCCCCCAGCAGCCCTCGAAAATGGCGGCGGTTTCACACTTCGCGCCCCTCAGGGATGGCGATGTCCCAGTTGGATCTGCGTTGGGCCTCACTGTGTTGCCCCCGCTCATCAGCCTTAAAACGTGACAACGGTTTCACTCTTCGCAGCGCCCCAGAGATGGCGAGGTCCGGGTTGGGTCGGCGTGGGCCCGTTTTATGTTGGCCCCCCCGGGCAGCCCTCGAAAGTGGCGGCAGTTTCACATTTCGCAGCTAACCAGGGATGGCGACGTCCCGTTTGGGTTTGCGTGGGACCCCACAGTGGTGGCTGCTTTTAGCAGCCTTCGAAAGTGGCGACAGTTTCACATTTCGCAGCCCTCCATGGATGGCGAGGGCCTGTTTAGGTTTACATCGGACCCCGCCATGTTGCCCCTGCCCAGCAGCCCTCGAAAGTGGCGACGGTTTCGCACTCCGCAGCCAGGGATGGCGAGGTCCTGCTTGGGTCTGCGTGGGGCCCCGCTGTGCTGGCCCCCTCAGCAGCCCTCGAACGTGGCGGCAGTTTTACATTTTGGCCCCCCCCCTCCCCCCCACCCCACCCCCACAGGGATGGTGAGTTCCCGTTTGGGTCTGCGTGGGGCCCCGCTGTGTTGCCCCCCCCCCCCCCCCCCCCCCCCAGCAGCTTTCGAAAGTGGCGACGGTTTCGCACTCCGCAGCCCCCTAGGGATGGTGAGGTCCCGCTGGGGTCTGCGTGGGGCCCCGCTGTGCTGCCCCCCCCCAAGCAGCCCTCGAAAGTGGCGTCAGTGTCACACCCCGTAGCCCCCCCCCAAGGGATGGCGAGGTCTGCGTGGGACCCCACTGCGGCTGCCCCCCCCCCCCCAGCAGCCCTGGAAAAGTGGGGACTGTTTCGAACTTCGCAGCCACCCAGAGCTGGCGAGGTCCCGTCTGGGTCTGCGTGGGACCCCATTGTGTTGCCTTCCCCCTCTCCAGCAGCCCTCGGAAGGGCCGACAGTTTCACGCTTCGCTGCCCCCCACGGATGGCGAGGTCTCGTTTGGGTCTGCGTCGGACCCCGTTGTGCTGCCCCCCCCCCAGCAGCCTTCGAGCGTGGCGGCAGTTTCACACTCCGCAGCCCCCAAGGGATGGCGAGGTCCCGTGTGGGTCTGCGTGGGACCCCGCTGTGCTGCCCCCCCCCCCCCCCCCAGCAGGCAGGCGGCGAGAGGGGGACCGAGCCGAGAGGAGAGCCCGGGGGGAGGAGGGAGTTGGCGACCCCACTGCTCTACTCAAAGCGACAACCCAACCAAGGGAGGGTTGGGAAGAACACAAACACGCGCGACAACGGGAAATGGACGTCCGAGCCACGGCAAGAGTACGTATTCGTCCCTCTCTTCGTTCCCTTCCTTTGCTCGTCCTCCCCCTCTCGCCTCTCCTCCTCTCCCTCCCTCCTCCGCCTCATCCCCTTTCCCTCTTTTGTCCCGCCGTCCTCCTGTCTCTCCTCCCTGCGGGGCTTGATGGGGAGATGCTGAGGTCGTGGAAGGGGGAGGGCGGGGAGAACCAGGAAGACGAGCCGATGCGGAGGACGATGCGGAGGAAGAGAAGGATGAGGGAGGGGGGATGGGGGACGACGAAAGGCGCTATCGGCTATTCGCCATAGGAAGGGGGGATGAAAGGAGGAATAGTTGGATAATGATGATGGTGATGCTGCTGATGATGATGATGATAATGATGCGGATACTGATGATGATGATGCTGATGATGATGATGATGATGCTGATGATGATGATGATGATGATGATGATGATGATGATGGTGATCATGATGATGATGACGATGATGCTGATGATGATGATGCTGGTGATGCTGATGCTGATGATGATGATGCTGACGATGTTGGTAATGATGATGTTGGTGATGGTGCTGATGATGTTAATGATGATGCTGCTGCTGCTGATGCTGATGCTGCTGCTGCTGCTACTGATGATGCTGATGCTGAGGAGGAGGAGGAAGAGGGGGACGAGGATGATGATGAGGAGGAGGAGGATGAGGATGATGCTGATGATGATGATGCTGATGATGAGGAGGAGGAGGAGGAGGAGCATGACGAGGAGCAAGAGGAAGAGGGGGACAACTAGGAGGAATATGATAAGGGGGTAAGGAAGAGGAAGAGAAGGCAACGTATGAAGGGGATACTCATGAGGACGAGGAAGAGGAGTAATGACAGGAAGAGGAGAAGTAGGAGTAAGAGCAGGAGTATAATTGGGAGTCTAGCTAGCCAGCTCGAGCGAGTCAATCATGGCATGCCCATTCCCACCCGCCCTCCCACGACACAAACAACAGTGCTGGCGAAACTGGGGACCGAACTCAGATCGGCAAGGTGGTTTGCCACAGCTGATGCAGCCGCGATGGCGGTTGCCGGTAGGAAATCCCTGGCGCGTCTCAAAGACTGCGCTGGCATTCCAGCACGAGCTGAGGAGGCGAAAGGACGCCTCAGGAGGTCCCAGGAGGCCTCAGGAGAAGCCCCAGCGACCCCCAGGAAGCACCAGGAGGCTTCAGGAGGGCCCAGGAAGCCCTAGGTAATTCCAGGAGGCTTCAGGAAGCCTTAGGAAGTGTCAGGAAGCCCGGGGAAATCCCAGGAAGCCCCAGGATGCCTCAGGAGGCTTCGAGAGGATCCACGAGGCCCTGGGGAACCCCCAGGATGTCCCAGGAGACCCTGGGAGGCCCCAGGGGGCCCTAGGCGCTCGACGAATTGGCGAGCGAAAAAAGTGCGCCGCGCCTCAGCGGGAGCGCAACTTTCAGAACACATGCGCGCGGCGCCGAAGCGAGAGCGACATTTCAACCTGTCGCTCGCGGTGTGCACCGCGCCCCCTTCCTTCCACGCGTTTCGCAAAGCCGACGACAAAAAATCCCCACTGAGAAGAAGCATGCCGACTTTGTATGGTTTTTGACAAGTAGGATGGCCCCTCCCGCTTGGGGTTGCCATCGACGTCCGCGCGCGATGTGCGCCGCGTCCCATTCCTGCGACGCATTTCACATCGTCGAGGACAAGACAGGCCATGTTGAGAGGAACAACGGGGACTTCGTATTGATTGTTTACAATCACGATGGGAGGGCCCGGATTGACGGCCGCGCGCGATGTGCGCCGCGTCCTATTCCTGCTACGCATTTTGCATCGTCGACGACAAGAAAGGCCATGTTCAAAGAACAGCGACGGTTTTGTATGGATTTTTTAGTTAGGATTGGAGGGCCCAGATGGGGCCGCTATCGGCCTGCCAGAGCATATTCTAATAAAGATTCAGGATAGGAGGAGGAGTAGGAGGGGGATGAGGATGAGGTGGAGGTGGAGGAGGAGGAGGAGGAGGAGGAGGAGAAGGAGGAGGAGGAGGAGGAGGACGACGAGAACCCATATCTCCGACGTCGTGTTTTTTGTTCACAACGTGGACCCCCGATGCCTAGACCACCGCGCTGGGGCCGGTTTTCCATTCCGAGTCGTTTTCTGACAGTCCCGGGGCCCGGTGAGGGCCCCTCGGAGGCCTACCATTTCCAACACATTCCCGTCGTGAGTTGTTCTGCAGCGACAGGAAGCCTGGGGAGGAGAGCCTTTGTCCCGTCCGCGCAGGTTTCGCAGCCCTGCTTGAGGCGTTTATGTGCGCAATTTTCAGGAGGCGCCAGCGCAGTCTTTGCGCGGAAGCATCCCACGCCCGGTGGGACGTCCGGTCCCGCGGCGCCGCCCTCCCGGGAGAAGGATTCTGCTCATCGTCCTCATCGTCCTCATGTTCCTCATCCTGCTCCTTCTCCTCCTGCTCCTCCTCCACATCATCCAGTGTCTCCTCCTCGTTTCCTTCTCTTCTCCTCCTCCTCCTCTTCCTCCGCCTCCTCCTCCTCCTCAGGCTACCCGCACTTCTCCTCCTCCTCCTCCTCCTCCTCCTCGTCCTCCTCCTCCTCTTCCTCCTCTCCTTTTTCCCCCTCCTCTACTCTTTCATCCTCCTCTTTTTCCTTTCTTTCTTCCTCTCTTCCTCCTCCTCTTCGTCATCTCCATCCGCCATGAAGAAGGACTCTGCTCGTCGTCCTCTGCCTCCTCCTCCTCCTCCTTGCTTATCTCACGCGCCCTCCTTCCCCACCCGCCCTCCAGCCCCCTCACCTCCCATCCCTGGGGTCTCTGACTGCCCCCAGAGGTCTTCGGAGGCCCCCGCGGAGGTTCCCGGCGGCTTTCGCAGAGCATGTAGGGGCCCGAAACGTGGGCTCGATTCTCGATCCTCTTGCTCCTCCTCTCCCGCCCGCTTGCTCCCCCGTCGCCCCCTATCCTGCCTCCGCCCCTTATCTTCCTTGCAAGCTGGGGATGTGTCCATAACTACCGCCCCGATTTCGGCGACCTCGGCGGGCGGTGGACAGGGATGTCTGATGCAGGGTTCCCCCCCCACCCCCTCGCTGTGTGGATCTATGATCCCGGTCTCTGGGCTCACGCCCCCCCCTCAGATGGGATGGGTCCCAGGGTTCCACGGGCCCGCCCCCCTTGATGGGACGGAGGGGGGAACGACGACGACGACCTCGAGGACGACGAGGACGACGCCGACGACGACCTCGACGACGACGACGACGACGACGACGACGACGGCGGCGACGACGACGACGACGACGACGACGACGACGGCGTCGACTGCGACGGCGACGACGACGACGGCGACGACGACGACGACGACGACGACGACGACGACGACGACGACGGCAGTGGCGGCGGCGGCGGCTCCGACCTCCGGAGCCCTCCGACGACGACGGCGGCGGCGGCGACGATGACGACCTCCGGAGCTCTCCTGGAGCACCACAGTACCACACGCTCTGGTGCTCTGGTGCCCAGCACTTCGAGGCCTGCGGATTTGAGCAGTGCCTGCTGTCATGATGCCTCGGCGGAAGAAACCTGTGGGCAAGGCGTCATAATTTCTCGGGCGAAAATGGTCACGGAAAACACGCGCGCTACACAGAACAGATCAGCAGGTGAGGAAGAGCAATCATCGACCCTATGAAATCAAGCCCCTTTCGTAAGTGATTGGGATCAGCAGGTATGGTCTTTGGGACGGCGCGCTGTTCACTCGCTGCGATCACCTGTAAATGTATCCCACCCTGCCCGCTCAACAAATGCGGGTTGCTGAAAGCCTCTCGGACCAACTTATGAACAATATTTTGGCTTGTCCTGGGCCACCACTAGACCCCTCCAAGCGCCTCGCTGCCGTCAGCGTACGGTTGGTTGTGCAAGTTGTGCCTGCACCACGCCTGCTTTAGCATTGATGTGGCGAGCCCCTGAAGCAAACATGCAAATAGTCAACAGAAGACATAATTCGTGACACTGGCGTCATAGATCTGCAACTGTCGGCATCGTGCAAGCCGCATGGGAAGGTAAGACGCAAGCTTCTCGATTAAATCGCCGACGGTGCCAAAACACGGCGGGAAACGACGCTGATCGAAACAGTTGAGATCGTTCAACCAGACGCCAGCCTCGTTCAGCACATGAGGTATCCTTAATACTTTGCCTAACGAGGCTACCAGCCGAATATCTAGCTTTTTGAACGCGACAGTCTCGCCGAGGTCGTGGAGTTGGGTGGTGTCCTCGACATTGGCTTCGGTCGAAGACGTGCCAATGACGACTGTGAGCAAGCATGTGTCGCACAACCATATGCTAGCTAGAATCACGTCGTCAACGTATCTGGCAACAGCAATGCAATCCAAGAATCTGCCACTGAAGCCGCATTGGGCGCGGAGTTCTGACCAAACGTGCCTGTTGGCCACGCGCCCCAAGGACGATAAGCATTTCCACCGTTACTGCAGAGATCGGCCCACCGACCGAGACACCTCGCACTTTCATGCAACACGAAGTTGCCAAGGTGGCCGAATCTCGTCTTGAGCAGGGCGCCCGTGCACCAACGGCGCCTGGATAGCTAGAACACAATGCGACCTGACAGCGCTGACATTGCACGCACACCATCGTGGGCATAGGGGGCTTTATCATAATGCACGGCGGTAGTGGTCGCATCGTGTCAGTCCTTCAAGCCGGCGCGCTCGATCATGTCACCCACGTGTTGTTGCACAAGTTGCGTCCTCAAAGCCTCGAAAGGTTGTCCCGCATCCGCCGTGCACACCCCAGGCCGGGTCATGGCCGGTCCGCAGCACGCGCGCGCCTTTTCTGACCTTGCGATTGTCTCGGCTTGGTACGCGCAACGCGCTCGCGAAACTCAGCGCGTGCAGTGGACACGCTCTGTACGAACCACCCCTCCGGGTGATGGTGCAAAATGTGGCGACGTTCGGCCGCCAACTCTGCAGGTGCGGCGCCCGGGAAACATGGAGGAATGAAAAGATTGTCCTCCTTCGTGAATGTCCTCTCCAATGGCATGACCGCAGGCTGCCGATAGCAGCATCCCCTTGGAAACATGTCTGTTTGATCGACGGGTGTGCGTACGGCAGGCTTTTCAAATAACAATTCAGCACGGCAGGAAGCATGGATTTTGGCATGCACGTCTCCAAAAGAGCCCCGCAGACTAATAGTATTGTTGCGGTTTGCATTGCGAACATCTTCCCTCTGGGTTGTTGCGTTAGCACGTGGACCCATCTTACCATGAAAGGCACAGTGTCGTTGATCCAAAACTCGCTCGGGTCCTTGTCTTCGACCGCTGCATTTTTGCTGCGCCACTGCACAGCGTTGTGAACCTCTGTGAAGCACATCGTTGCTGCCACGGCATCCTCCGAGATGTAGCATTCAGCGTCATCAGGGCGCATCTTGCACAAACACCCCCGCGCTCGGAGACCGATTCCCTGGCCGAGAGAGGCGGCCCACTGCGAACAGCCCTCTGGCTGATTTTATGCACTGCTTCCAAGAGCGTCGGTGAGGCAATGTGGAGTGAAAACTCCAAATGGTGCATCATCACCGGCTTCCGCTTGTCGTAATCCCAGTGCGCCAGCGCGTTCAAATTCAGACAAATGAGATGTACGAGTCGTCTGTTGCACGTTCACCACATTGTCGCGCCACTTGTCCATGGCGGCCGTCACCACAAAGACCCGTCGGCTAAAACACCGTGCGAAACCAGACGCGTTGGACCTTCTGTTCGCCAGCGTCCTCCGCGCTCATAAGTAAAGCTCATTGCGGAAGTTTGTTGAAACGAATGCCACAGGATATGGGCGACATAAATGCATCCCAATTTGGGGTCCAGCTTGAACAAGTGCGTGGCGGACCCGTGCTTTAGCGGAAGATGCATGCAATAACGATTACCCGTGAATCATCACGCAAGGGAAATGCGTTCTAAGATGTCAGCGCAACAAGAACCCCAGCAAATCAGTAAAATGCAGTGTCTCGAAAGTCCATCGGATCACGAGCCAAGTGGGCGAATCCAATAGTTCGAACGGGCCGCGTGTCCATCCGTGCGCTTGTACAACTCGCGGGAATCATAATCACCGATGCATTTGTCAAGCTTGTTTTGACCTCCTTTACATGTTCCGGCGGCGGGCGAGAGGGGGCGCAGACAATTTCTCAAAAGGTCGGAGGCCTTCCCAGTCTTGTAAGAAGGCCCGCGCCGTCTCACATTCCTCCATGCGGGTCGCCGCATGTTTGCCGCGTTGGCACGCTGGCTCGATAGTCACGATCACAGCATGTTGGTGCCTGATCTGGAGGGCGCCTTCCTTCGGATCGACGGCGCACCGCTCCGATCGACGGAGCCGCTCTGTCGTCGAACAACGAAAGCGCCACTTGATGCCAAGTTCGCACAGAACGCCGTTGGCATTTGGATTCGCCTCCGGTAAATGGCTCGCGCCCTTACTGACAGTTGGTCGGGCAAAGTGCAGTTGAAACTATGTGCAGAAACCTGGGGCTAGTTGCCCGAATTGATTTGTCACATCTGGTATACCTCCTCTTGCGCCTCATCGCGTCGCGTCTGAACAAGAGGCGCGCGTGCCGAGGATCATGCAATCACGGATGGGGTGCAAGGAGGGGTGGCGATGGCGGCAATCTTTGGCTGGTGGGGGACATGTGCGACTGCTGCGACATGGCGGCCAGGGATCGGCGCGAGCCAGGTCCGTCGGCGCGCGTCGCTTCCAGGAGCGTTCGCGGGGTTTCGGAGGGAGCCTTTGGGTTCGGCCCGCGTGCTCCCGAAAGGTGGGGGAGCGATCGGATGGCAGCGTGGAATGATTGATCGGTGGGTCTTGGGCTCTCGTAGCGCACTCCTGGCCCGTCCTGGGACATGCTTGTGGAGCCGCCTGCCAGACTCTCCTCTCTGTCTCCTCTTCCTTCTCTCTCTCCTTCCCTCTCCTTCCACGTCCTCGCGCGGCCTTGGCCTTCAGGGGTCTGCGGGGGCCCCGGGGCCCTCCTGGGGCCCCTCGCAGACCTTCCTGAGGCGGCCCTTTGGGGACCATCCAGAAGCCCTCGTGGAACCATCCTGAGATTCTCCTGAGGCCATCTCGAGGTTCTTCTGTTACAATCCCGAGGACCTGTGGGCCAGGCAGCCCTCGGGAGACCATCCTCAGACCTTCTGGGACCGTTCGAGGAGCCTCCTGGGATCTTCCCGGCCTCTCCCTCGGCCCCTCCCTCGAACTCCTCTGGGAAGTTGGAGGCTTCTCCTGGAGCCTCCCAGTGCATCCCGAAACCTCTGGGGAGGCGTCCCCGGGGGGGCCCCGAAGTCCTAGAATCGGTCGCGAAGCTGGCGGCACCAGACTGTGGGGCAGTTGTCGGGCCAGCAAAATCACCAGGTCCCAGAGCATTCGGTGGGCCTTAACCCCAGTCCCGGACCGCCGCCTCCCATGGAAAAGAAAACGGCTCAGAATTCAAAATCCTCCGGGGAACTCCAGGGCCTCTCAGAGGACCACGAGGGCTATCCTGGGTCATCCTGGAGGCCTCTTGGGACCGCAGAGCCGTCTTGGGGCTCTCCTCAGACCATCCAGGGGCGCTGCTGAGGACATGCTAGGGCCACCGTGGTGAGGCTCTCGGGGGAACAGCGTTCCACGATCCCGAGGCTATCCTGAGGCCTCCTGGAGAGACGTCTGGAGAAGACGAGAGCGAGAGTGAGGAGAGGGCCCGCTCGCCTCAGCCCGTATCCTTTTTCAGACTCCTTCCTGCCGTTCATCCCTCCTCTCTTCCCTCCCCCCCTTGCGTCCTTGTTCCCCTGGCCCCTCCTCCTCCTCCTCCTCCTCCTCCTCCTCCTCCTCCTCGTTCTCCTCCTCCTCCTCCTCCTCCTCCTCCTCCTCCTCCTCCTCCTCCTCCGTCCACGTCCTCCGCGACCTCTTTGTCCATTCTAATCGTCCCTCCGTCCTTCCTTCCTCCTACCTCCTCCCTCCGTCCTCCTCCTCCTCTTCCTCCTCCTCCTCCTCCTCTTCCTGCCTCCTCCTGCTTCCTCGCTCCTCCCCCCCCCCGACCCTTCCTCCCTGCTCCATGCTCCTTCCTCCTCCCTCGCCTATCCCTCCTCCCTCTCCGCCCTCGCCCCCTCCCTCCCCGCTCCGCTCGGCGGCCCGCGCTCGCGGCGGCCAGCCAGGGGCGGAGGTGGGGGCGCGGTCGGTCGGAATGCGCCGGGGGGGGCGCGGTCGGTCGGACGAAGGAATGGGGGCGAGGGGGGGGGAAGGTGGAGGGGAGGAGGGGGGGGGGGACAGAGAACAATGAGGGGACGAGGGTGCGATCGTTCGGGACGAGCCGGGGGCGATGGGGGGGGAATGGGCGGGGGCAGGGAGGGCGGAGGATAGGGAGGGGGGGCGCGGTCGGTCGGAATATGCCGGGGGGGGCGCGGGACGGGGGGGGGCAGGAGGCGCGGTCGGCCGGAAGAAGGCAACGGGGGGCCAGGGAGGGGAGGACATGATGAGGGGATGGGGGGGCGGAGGACAGGGAGAGGAACGTTGCACAACAATCGGTCGGATTGACCAAGGGGGTGGGCATTGGGAGAGGGAGTGGGGCGAGGGGGTGGGGGGAGCGCCAGGGGGGGGGGAG